ATGTTCTGCCAAAGGTACATGATTGCAAAGAACCCACAGTTTGTTAGATAAGATTATTTGAAAAATAGTGGAAATAAATGTGGAATAGGAAATAGAACAGATAGTGGGAGATGCAGTGCGGCAGTTTGATTGATGAAAAGCGGTTGCAATTCGACTGATGCCAGCTAGTCTCATGTCCCGTCCTAAGAACACTCCCTCGATCCCATCGTGCAACTTGACTACTACTTGCTTAAAACAGAACTTGCTTATATTTTGAATTTCTACAAAAAGAACTTTGAACTTGAATTTCAATCCATTCAAGAGTGTTAAAAATTGAATTTTTTTTCTCCGGATTTCCAGTTGTACAGCAGAAAGTTAAACTTTCTTACTATGTAAATTTTTATGATAAAAACATACATTTGCCAACCCTAAATTTTGCTGACTTAATGAATATTGCTATAATACGTTCCTTATATCGCTAATTTATACAGAGAATATTGATTTGTACAATTCATTGATTAATTGGACAAAATAATTTTTGTGTTAGTTTTTTTTTTTTTTTCCAAAATTTAAGCAAAAATCATTTCAGATGGAGGATAGTGTGTCAATAATTACAAGCTGACGTCATGAAAGATCAGGGCAGAGTAAAGTAGGAGATAAAATAGAAACAGCAGACGTGAATGTTTTCCGTTTCGCATACTGCATTGTTGAATTTTTTAAAAAAAAAAAATGATCCTTTTATATGAACGAAAAAATTGGTGAATGTGAGGTAATTTGCTTTAGGGATGTGTTAAGCATAAAAATTGGATTACCCTATCCGTGCAATATGATGTAATCATGTAAAAACTATTCACTTCATTAAAAGCTATGTGCCACCGGACGAAAATTTCAGGAAAGCGGCCTAGCGCCATTGAGCATGATATTTAATACATCCTTGGTTCAATTATTGCTTTAATTAAAACGATTTGTGAGTAGTGCTAATATAAATTGAGGGAATGAAGTTCTTGGTTACAGTGGTCCGATAAGACAAATCCTAATATCTCCTAACTACCTGGTAATTAACAGATTTCAAGGTATGCATTTTCAGATTTATAGATGTAGTGCCAAGTTTCCGTCTGTTAAATTGGAATAGATTGAGGTTCACCTTGGATCATCTCAATACAGCAGTATATGTTGGGACATTTTATCCAATAAGACAGAAACAGCACTCAGCAGAATTGTGGCATTAAAGAGAACAGGATTCCATGTATTATATGCGAGTAAATTAGCTCAAATATTTCGAATTCGAAAAAAAAACGAAGTGGTGGGAGGGAAAAGATGAAAACAGCAAACTATGCCTAAGTAGACCAGCATTTTCTATGGGGAAGTAACATTTTGCATCACTGAATGCATTAGTTTCATTTTGAAGCAGTGTACAGTAAAACCGAAAATCAATCGCTATACCTTTCCAAGAAGACATTAATATGACATATCGCAGGAAAATTACCGATTCACAGGAAGCTTAGTGGGTATTTAAAGATATTAGAAAAAAGGATTAAATCTTTTCGAAAGATGACTTGAAAAGTGGAAAGATAACGGGAGGAGGGAGAAAGAAATGATCATTATCATCGGATTCGAACGGTTTAAGTGAAGGGAGACGAGTAATGACGATATTGCCAACATAACTGGAAATATACAGTGATCATCGGGAGATAACAACATACTTTTTCGAAGTACCATAACAACATAACGATAAGTACTTGGTGATATGTTAAACTCTTTGAATATACACGTTTTGGTCATAACAAAGGACAGAAAAACAGGTTCATGTGTCATACTTATCCGTTTTCTCTTACTAAGACCTTTCCTAATAGCCATATAAAAAAACATTTCTTCTGCATTTCAAATGTATCAATGAAAACTCTTTTAATTCGTACAGGAAGGAAGTCAAAAAGGATGGAAAAAGCAGGAAGATAATATGGATAATGAAAATAATTAACTTTACTTATTAATTTATTATTCTGTGATTCATTCGAAATACATTGAAAATAATACTCATTTTGTGATTTACTTTCTTTCACTATTAGTGTTTTATTAGCTTACATTTTCCCAATTTCCTCGCTAATAAAGGGGATGACCTATACTTGATTCCATGATTTACAGCTCTATCACTTTTCACCCAATTATTTCTGCAACTTTCCAGATACTCCCCAAACTTCATGATACTATTCACTGAATGTGAAGATGATACTGCAAGATCCTAGCATAAACGATTGGCGCTGTTAACGGAAAATCTTCTGCAGCTCAGAAAATTCCATTAACTTCAACTTTAATAATTGCTGATGAGGGCAAGAAAAATTAATAAACAACACAACAACGATTCAGGGAAATGAATTTATGGGATGAACTGGAAATGAATTATTCTTGTGCTGCTATAAATTTTGTTGTAAAATCCAATGAGGCGCGGTAACATGCAATTCGATACTTTCAAAGGGTGCGCAAAAGCCTTAAAAAAGTGTTGAAAATAATGGAAGAGAATGGGTTAATAGAAATGTCAAAAACATTTATAAAAATTAGAACAGATATTTCATATAACATCAGTTATAATATATCGATATTTAGGATACGACCTGATCAAGCATATTAATATTATGGAGAATATTTATAGAGTATCAATATTGCTGACACAAATACCAGATACCTCATTTATACGCCTTACAAAACAGTATGATATAATACTGCTTTCAGACTATAACGACTCAGCAAAGTTGATAAAATGTAATCAGAAATTCGAGCAACAGTACTTTTTAATACAAGAATTTGCATATTTTCTTCATTCTCAGATCTTTACTCCACTGATTTCCTGATCGTTTTATCGGAAGATACATCAACCCACTTGCTAACAATACAAGACATTCATTCTCTGACAATCGTTTAAAGATTACAGCCGTATTGCTCTGTTCTCTCAGTATATATACCAATGGTTGGAAATGAACAACATTTACATAAAAAAAAAGCAGAAAGATTTGAGAAAAAAGAGCAGAAAGACTTTCAGGCAACCATTATCCGACAGTAATCTGACCAGCTGTTAAAAGTGATCGGAATATTATTGGACGTCATGGAGATATCAGTTAAGCCTAACAAAACTGAGGAAGGGCAAAGTCCCTTCCTACCAACACTTAGAAGAATAATTAGGCTGGTCAAGTTTGTTGATATGAATGGTCAACTGATGCAGGGAATGTTAGTATAAGCGAACTCTGCGGCATATATAAGTTAACTTGACCTGATTATTTCCTGACAACTCGCATAGGAAAGAAACTTGTTTACGATGGTTTATTAGGGAAACATGCAGATGTCACCTCATTCAAGCCGGCAGTGAGACCACCCTTTAAAGGCAATCTTTCTCAAGCATATTGAAGGTTATTTGGTTCCCATAACTCAACGATCTCTAATGCCACAAGTGGGCGACATTCGCTTTATGGTACCTCTCCCTTTCCACGCAGTGTGGTTCCCTGTACTAATAAGCAATGATGCAACATAAACGAATGTGTAAAAATGAACATGGCACGTTGATGTCTCCTTTTGTACTGCACCTGTGACGCACTCCTTATAACGTTAAGCCGCGGTGAATGAACAACATACACAGATACATACACACAGACACAGGCATATATATATATATATATACATAGACACACACGTGTTAAGCACCCATCAGCCGTCGTAAGACATGTGTCTGCACGGAAGTGTTTCCATTGAGTTCGTATTTAAAATTGAATTTACCGAGCAAGCAGCCAATGGTTGAAGCAGTAGTGCCGTGCAGTTCGTTATTGAGTCTGTATCTATATGTGTGTGTGTATGTATCTGTGTATATGCATGTGTGTATGGATGTATACATGTATGTGTAGTATCATCCATCGATCGAAGCTGTATTTCGACCTTGATTTAAGAGTGCTAATTCAGGGTACGTCTGCTAACCGAACCTGTCTCAAGTCATTTTCTATGATTTGAGTTTCAAGGTGTCGCATATTCTGCTTGTGATTACTTTTCTTCGCAGAGAAGGAAATATTACAAATTTTCCAAGCGAAACATCAAATCGTTGTTATTCATTTCGGTACATATGCGACAGCTCATTTGAAACATTTTCATTGTTCTCAACAGAATTTGAACCAATTGACATTTTGAAACTTCAATTAGCACTTCGCCTCTTTCGAGAGTTCTCAAGACTTATAACCTATAAATGGGATGTATGGGATTTACCGTGATATCGTTGTCACAGAAGCACGGGATTTCTTCGGCCTTAGTAATCCCGTATTAAATTGCTGTGACAAAATCATCAAAGACGGATCATGTGTTTAAACGAATGTGTTCTGGCATTCAGAGCTACCGAGAAAACTTCAAAATAATTAATAAGGCAGCTTACTTAAGACAAAGATGAAGGTTACAAATTCACGACAAGCTGATAAAACGTGGACTAACGTCAATACTTCCTAATGCAAGGAAATAACATTTTAACAAAATTTCAAATTTTTTTTACTTACCAAATCGAAAAAAATTTTCACTAACTGGAGTTGATTAAATTAAGAAGCTGGTATTATATAAGTTACGAAAGAATGGAGGGAAAGACATTTTTTTCTGGTTGTGAAGTAAATAGAATGGGATGATTACTTTCAGTTGCATTTTATTTTGGAGTCAGTTACAAGATATAATTAGTCATTTCCAGTTTTTGGCCTACCCAAAAACCCAATGAAACGATTATAAGAACAAATGGCAGTAATTAGTAACAAAGAGCTAGTCGGACAATAAACATTTTTTAGGTAATATGGGATTTTTTTCACCATATAGGCAAACAGAAAAATATTCAAATTAAGCTTTACTGCCAAACAAGTACAATATAAATATTTATACAATTTTTTCCGGACAAAAAAAGTGAAGCTCACTTCTTCAGAGTTTTTCCGTGGTCTTCAAAAAAACGCTGAAAACTTTCGGAAATTTTAGTGAAATCCATATTCTCATTGCCGCTAATATTAATGATCAGGTTGCATTACTTGAACATATCTTATTTTTTACATCGGTTGATCGCATTTGGGTAGTTTCATGAAAATTCCGCTGCTTCGACTAGGCGGACACTAAATATCACTTTATATCGAATATCGTAAAATGCACAGCCGTGGTAAGCGATATTTAAGAAGACACCAACATATTCACATATCGCAAATACTTCATACGCTAAAATTACATTTCAAAAATAAGTTAAAGTAAAGTTTGCAGCTTACTTTTTTTTTTTTTGTAAAGGAAATGAAAGAAAAGAAATATATTCCAGTTCATATCTATGATTTTTGCACCAATCATTCAATAATTTCAACTATTTCGATCAAAAAGCTTTAAAACTTTTTCGCATTTTTCAAACTAAAGTTACTGTAGAGAAATGCAAGCTAATACTAAAAAAGAAAATAGGTTCAGAGCATTATCAGCAAAAAACGCTAATGATATTTTTATCACCAACTGCAGAAAAAGTATTTACCAGCTGTAACACAGACTTTCCAATACAATAAGAAAGAGGTTAGCAAAATAGGAATAGATAACAAATAAATAGTGCAGAAAGCAAATTTCAAATAATATGACAGACGACCCTACAAAAATATTGATATTGACTCTTATCAAAAATATTAACTCTTATGCTTCAGTTTATTTTTAGTTTAATTTTCAAAATCAGCTGAGCATCATTTATGCTAACAGTTGGCAGGTAACAGCATTGTAAAGCATTGTTAAAGTTGTATGCAGATATTTAAATTATTGGGCCTATAAACATCATGCGTCTTTCGGAGGTGCAAAAAGGCCCCCGTTCTGTGACACGCAGTGTCTACGTTGTTTGTGAAATACCATCAAAAATTGAACCCTCCACAAATTTTCTTTAGCAACGTGAAAATTAAAGGGTAAGCGGAATGATAAAGTCTGTAGGGATTCTAATACTTTTGTTTTGATTTACCTGATTTTGAAATCCATACAATTTTAGGGGACTTGATTTCATCATAGCAAAAATTAAAGTTTTAACACATGGACCGTTTTCGTATGCACAGAATTTAAGCAACTAACATATGGAGGAAGGAAATATAGTGAATGTCGATGGCAAATAAGATTTGCCGTGAAAAAACTAATGCCACAAAATCCAAATATGTAGAAAAGTATAACATGGACCTCTGAAATAAATAAACAAATTTGGAAAAACAACTTTGTTAATTACAAGAATTAAAGAAACTATCTGAAGAGCAAAGTATACATTTAATGTATTCAGTCTCATCAGATGAAATTCAATGCTGTGAACAGAGATGCTGGATTCATTCATTTTGCTTTCACCCTAATTATAGGATTTAAGGGACAGGATTCTTTCCTGGATAACATCTGTACTATAAATTTTTGAAATTACTTACGAATGTTTTCACGTTCACCAAGTAACGACAAACCAATCATAAAGAACAGTTCTGCATTGCCGGCATAAAAATATACATATCGAGCAAATTCATAAAACCGTTTATGTCGATAGTTCACATCCATTAAACGTCCGTAGCGACAAACTGCAAACAGAAGTTTAAATTAAAATAATAATTTGGGAATAAAAAATTCTCTATTTCATACAGAAGAAAAGAAATATCAAACAGTTCCGATTAGTTTTAAAATCTAATTTACCTCTCAATTTTTGTCACAAGGTCTAGTTACAAAAACTTACAACCAGTGAATAATTCAACGATTCGAACAGGTGTGTGTACAAACACCAAAAACTGCCAAAGTAACCGTTCCAGTGGTAAATTTATTATTCGTGAAAGTGATGGCAGTCTGGCCCTCTGCAAATTCGTGCATTTGCTCTATTATTTAAATACTCAATATAAATCAATTTGGATTTGGAAATTTCCGAAAACTGAAACATCAATATCAAAAAAACCATCAAATTTTAGAAATATGAGTGTATGCTTGCCCCGCATTGCCAGTTGTAATTGCTAATTTGTTCACTGTGAAAAATTAAAGCTGTGGTTATAGCTGCAAAAGCACCAGTCATTGGTGGCACAAAACCAAGTAAAAACACAATTACCGGTGATAAGCGAAACAATTCGGTCACCTAAAAAAAATTAACCTAATATTTTGTTCTCTACAAAAACTAGATTGTCGGTTTGAACGCAATTTCAGCCAAGTTCTGGACTTAATTATTGGGAAGGAATTTGCAAAATATAGAAGTTAGAATTTCGATGGATTAAATTAGTACTCTTATTTTCAACAAAAACCATACCGTTTTGCCATTTTCGATGTAAACTGATGACGGTCTATATGTGGATTTTCGATTATTTCTGTTATCCAATTGTTGTTCCGCCCCTCCATTCTCCATATAAGATACTTAATATGCCTATAAATCTTGCAAAAAAAAAAATCTATCCACTAATACGAACCGAGAGCTGCATTTTTTTTTTTAATTAAATCCATTTCTTAGAGTTTTTCTGATACGGACAAATTTCTGGAAGTGAGTTCATCGCCCATTTTCCAATCTCTTTTCTGAACTTTTGCAATGTTGTTCAGTATTTTTATTTGTTATAAAATATAAAACTTTATGAAAGGAAATTGATTTGAAAATTTCATTTTGATGCTGACACTTTGGCAATGCTCGAACCCATATTAACGTATATTCATTGCATGCACGGGCACCACCACTTTCTGAACACTTAATTTCCAAAAAATAAGGGTTCGAACCAAAATGAAAAACTGATAGTTGAACAGATTTGAAAGGCTGATTAATGATTGATACAGTGAGCCTTTTTAGGGAAGCCTGTCATGGAACCATGTCGACTGGAATTAGATTGAATAAGACGAAAGAACTGATCGATGGTCAAATCTGAGAATTTGAAATCAGCTACTTATATTAAAAAAGAATAAAGTCTTCTATTTTCTAAGAAAACAAAGTTAGTTTCTTTTTCGGATCTTCAGGAGATTTCAAACAAAAATTGATTCAAGAAAATGTTATAAAACGAAATAGCAAAGTTAAAAATATAAAAACAGTTGTTATATTTGTGTGAGTTTAGAAACAACGATAATTATATCATTAATTAATAAAAATTGAAAATTTTGGTCATGAAATTTAATTGGCAACGAACTTCCAGGTTTTCCAAATGCGGACAATTTTGACAATATGGCAAATAGGCAGCATCTGGAATGTAGGACTTATATTCTGCGATATTTCTAAGGGGAGGAGATAGAATTTATCATTCATTTTGCGCGAGATTTTCAAAATGGAATGCAAGGCAGTGCTGAAAGCTTTCGTCATCATCCCAAAAGATCGTCCTAAATCTTCACTCCCCCCATCTACTTTATCCTAATAGACAATTTAATCTCTTCCAACCCATTTTTCCAGCATTTATGAATGCATAAATAAACACATTTTCGCGACTCTTCCCGAATTACAGAACAGCTCATCTTTAGTACAAATCGAGATAATGTTGGAAAGAAAATTTCCACCGCAACGTTAAGTACCGTAGGTATTATTTATTAGAAACTAAACTGAACCATATTTTTACAATTTACTTTTTATGAAAAGGTGGTGTTATCAAAAGAGACGTATGTCTCATTCAAGTTTGGAACCCTGCATAGATTTAAGTCCATATAATTCTGCCATCTAATAGTTGATTAATTTCGCTTTATTCCAAAATCATGGTAACAAAGTTTACATCACAGATCACGGTAATGCAAAACAAAGGCTAAATCTTATTTATAATTAATTTTTTGCTAATAAAAACGCAAAGATTTTGAAACAATAAAATGTATCCGGAAAGTTCTACAAATGAATCAAGCATGTTATCAACTCTGTAGTAAGCATTCTAGAGTTTGTGCGATCATTTAATACAGCAATAAAACAAACAAGCAAATTCAACAAAACCTTATTCTTCTGATTTTCCTGACGCTCATGGAAGTGTGCAAAAATTCAAGCACATCTGCAACAATTTCCTCATTCAGTTCTATTTAGTCAACACGAATTTTTAAACCAATTTTCCCCTGACAAAACTAAAAACCTGAAACTGATTTCATTTTACTGAAGAGAACTTGTCAGAAATGGATATGCGCTTCAAAACCACACGACAGCTAATGTTTAACTTTGCTCGATATATAATGGAATACAGTCTATTTCAGATTTAACAATCTTATTGTTATTAAAAATTTTGTGTAAAAATTATCTTTATTTTGAAATTATTAATGCACTATTACGCTAATACACTCGTTGCGGAGCTTGGTAACCAATGAATAATATCGATGGACAGGATCATTTCAAAATACTGGGTGTTGGACGTGGGCAAGTGAGCTGTCCGTAAATAATCCGATACGATACGAATGTCTCAAGAATATCTTTTCCAGAAGTATTTGGAACAGTTTTAAAAATTAGGAAGCAATTCTTTTAAATTATGTGCATCTTTTGCCTGACAAATTCTCGTCTTTAAAAAAAAATACTGAGCAATAAGTGCGCGGAACAATGTGAGCCAAAACAATGCGAGTAGGCTATTAAATCTACATATAAAGAGGAAAAAATCCATGAACCAAAAAAACAAAAAAAAAATGAGAACAGAGACCATTGCTGGTTCGTGTGGCCAGAGTTGGTTGTTTCATTGATTGTTAAATTAGCTAGATTTTTAATGAATCATGATAGCAGGACAAACATCATCAGGGAACACTTGGAAAAGTTAAAATACTTAGTTATAAATGAGAGGATCCTACATTAGCGACCAGGATGTCACTTGCAAGGGAAGTAAATTCGTCATCACCCGCAGGGCCATAAATCTATTAAAACGGTAATAGCACCGTTAGCCATCCTATGTACCATTTTACCTAGTGAGTAGTTTTGATGGAAAATAAGCATAAGAAAAGCATATAAAGGTCTATTCTCTTTCTTCTGCTTTTTTAATTAACTTTTTTCTCCAAAGAGGATAAAATCCGTATGTGGACAACGCCTTTCACTGTAGTAATGCAGCAAAAGTAATTAGACTTAATTGATTGATGCACAAAAAGCGTTAGGAACTGAGAACAAGACAATTTTTGGCAACTTTTTCCAGATGAGTTCCCTTGTTATATATTGATTCCCCTGTTATACATTGATTTTTTTAAGCATAATTAAAGTAAAGCTGCCTATGTCCCACTTATTCATTCACTTATCCACAGCAATATTTCCAAGGAAAAGCAAAGTCGAAAATCTGAAATTCTAAGATGGATAATTCCAACTATGAAATCACTCAAAAAATAAAGATTTCTTGATACCAAATTTCTAAGAAAATTATATTTATTTTCCGGCTTTTTATTTCTGTATACAGTCACTCATCAGACTAGCAGTAATTTATGGCTTTATATAAAAGAGCTAAGACTAAGTTTTTTATCGCTAGCTTGTCGAAGTTCAGAAAAATAGTACATTTTTGTGCTACAGTTATTCATAAAAGAACCTCCTTTGCTAGGACGTTACAGCTAGAAGTTACATAATTATCTTTCCAGTTAAATATATACAATTTACACAATATCATAGATGTCCCAGACGTTAAAGTCTTGATGCAAGCCTAAAAGTGAAATGTTTTTCAGGCAGATTAAAAAGAAGCAACCAGGCAACAAACAAGAAAGACAAAAAGGGAAATAAGATGATGAAAGGAAGAAGGATAAGAACTGATTGTGTTACCAACTGCACCAATTCATCTACTTTTTCAAGCCCGGTGATTGAAACCTTATTCTTAAGCCCTAAACTTGAAATAAAACTTGGGGATTACTGAAGTGACTCTCCTCGTCCGCCTTTCTCATTGTTTTTTTTTTTTTTGGCTCTAATGTAAAGAAATCGTAGTCCGTTATCATCCGTCCTTTAAAAGGATGATGAAGAAATTTCATTTCCGTGGCTCTCACCGTTGATTCTCAAAAGAAATTCAAAATTCTGTAGTATTTTGGATTCATCTTTTCAGCGGGTTTACTTTATGAGTCCTTTAGGACTTAGCTATTTATTTTCATTATGCGAGAATCGAATCAATCCATCCTATTGCTATTGTACCCATACCTCTTAATTATTTCTGCATCACTTTACAAAGGCTAATTTATCAGCATGGATCTCTCTTTCAATTCTTTGTTCAATAATTTTGTCATTTCTTTTAGTGTAACCTTTTAATGCAACCTATCACTGTTGTGTGGATTTTGCATGCATTTTATCACTATTTGCAATAGGTAGTGTTAAACTTCATGTGATGATATGTCGAGAACTTATTTTTACGTCTAGCTATTTGTTACACACGGTTTTAATAAGTCTGGTGTTGTCTGCACATTTTATTTCGTCTTAATTTTTTAACTGAATCTTTTAAACTGTTTAGCCTTTATTTGAAAACATAGTACAAATAAAAGAAATTGATAAGAAATCATTTCGTCCTCTAATAGTGTTACCACTTTCATATTGTTCTTTTATAATGCTTCCACAGTATCACAACTGATTTACCTATAAGTTGTCAGTTGAGTATCACATGCAGGTGTTTCTCATCACTGCATTGTCTTCGGTATTTGCTAGTTCAGTTTTACCGCTATTCAATAGGGATGCTTCTTTTTAATGGAAGATCATATTTCGATACTCAGACCTTTAATATAATTAGTTCGAACTTATATATGATAGAAAAAATCATGATAAAAGATTTACGAAAACGGTTTTCGTTTATAAAAATACGTACGACACATGCCAATAAAATTGAGAAGATAGCCTGAAGGATCTGTGATTATTAACTGAACCTTACGGAAAGGGAAGAAAGAGAAAAAAAGAAGAGAACTTTGATAAGCAAGCATGCTTACAGGAAATGCATTTGCCAATCAATCTATGTATTATTTCAAAATATATTCTTTAGTATTAGCTTGAGCTGTATGATATCTTTTAGTTTATTTTAAACTTTGCTTCTTATTTTATGGGTTTAAATTTAACACACGTGCGTTGTATGCAATTATATATATAACCACTCTAATAATAATATTTATTATTTATTCAAAAGGATTCTTGAAGGCAATAAAAATTTCTAAACAGATGAGAAAATTTAAAGCAAATTTGGTCACTATGCGATGTCAACCAACGAAATGTGAAAATTAATCATCTCTAATTAATTCCTTTTGCTTTGAAATTCTGCTCATTCCCTCCACTTCTCAATAACAACGGAACTGAATTTTCGTAACTTCCTTCATCTGTCTTTTCTTTCTCGTCTGGTTCGAATCTAATCATAAAATTACTTTGTAATTTATCTAACCTTACCAAACTGTTTTCTCTTAGTCACAGGCATATCAAGAGTTTGCGTTCTCTGCAACTCTACCGGCCTGATTTTCAGGCTAACTACATTATTTCAACACAGATAT